AAAAAAAAAAAAAAAAAGAAACCGCGATGTCCGAAGGCAGGCAGTGGAAAGTCATGGGTCATGGATAATCATGAACCCCGCCATTGAATTTACCCCGCTGCGCATTAAGGCCATCACACAAACACACACAACCATCAACGAACATGACGAAACAGAAAGCAAGAAAGTCAAACACATAAGCTCACTTACCCATGATGATAAGGGTAGAAAGGTGTTAAAGTAAACGGGTGAGATAGACAAGGAGATCCCTAGATCTGATTCTTTGGAGAGGAGTAAGGAAGGAGGAAGTTGTTATTGTGGTCTGTGGCACGGGAGGAAAGATACTTAATGGCGGGGTCATTCAACCCGGTATTTATACCTCGCCAGGCCACGACTACTACCTAAATAAACAGATCCTTAACAACGAATAGTAACTTTACTGTACTGTACTATACTCACCGACCGTGACCCTCTTCTCATCATCTTAGCGGGCCCGAGACTTGAGCACATTTCTGCAGGTCAGGCTGATTTTGGTTACTAAATACCGGCGATGCCCACCAACCACTAACTTACTATTGGCACTGTATGTACAGTATTGAAACCAAGAAAAGTAGTATTAATTCTGCCTCGGGGGGCGCTCATAACGCTATTCTCCTTCATGTTGTTATCCTTCTTTTCATGTCTCGACTGGTCTGTCTGACTGGGTGCAATAGGATTTGTGTGCTCTAGATTGCAGCCAACGACGAAGCTAGGAATATCCAAGTATGATGCAGTGTGCCATCTCGTGTTTATGCGGGAGTCTTGCACAGGATGTCAGTCTGGAGCAGTCTACAGATTATTCAACCCTGAACCTCTGCCACTGCACCGCCTGTCGCACGACGACAGGCATGCTGTGCTCTATATACCATCCCCTACAAGCAAGGCCACCGAACTTGGACGGCATGCGCGAGTACCAGCAGTCCGAGGATATAGTTCGGTATTTCTGTAAAACCTGCGGCGCCCATGCCTTGGCATATTCGAGGCCTTCGGAACGATATTTCGTGGCAGCCGGGTTGCTGGTGGATAATGCGAACTCGCCTCGGACTCGATCGGTGCGGCATTGGCGGGCTTCTGAAACGCGTGATGGTGGCCTGGCTTCTTTCCTCAAGGGGGAGCCTGCAACCATGGCCGCAACATGCTGGCTTCGTGCTTATTCCAATAGTGATAGTGATAGAAGCTGCTCGGAGGCGAAGGCGGATATCGAGCGCTCGCCGCAGGACTCCATGGAACTGCGAGGGCAGTGTCACTGCGCAGGTATCGAATTCTACGTTACTCGACCGGACGCTTCCTCCACAGAGGCAAGCTCTCCATGGTCGGATCTACTTGTTCCGTACTATGCCAATTCATCGGAAAACCCTGCCGATGTGAAGTGGTGGCTACGAAATGCGAACACCAGGTATCTAGCTGGGACCTGCGCCTGTCCGTCCTGTCGTCTAGCCAGCGGGTGTCCAATCCAACCATGGGCGTTCATCCCAAAGGCCAATCTTCTCGATGCCCGCAAAGCACCGTTCAAATTCGGTGCAGGCACCATGCAGCGGTTTGAAAGTAGTCCGGGCGTTTATCGGGAGTTTTGCAGCCGCTGCGGAGCCTCAGTCTTCTGGCATAGCGATGAAAGACCCTTGTTGATGGATGTCAGCGTCGGATTGCTTGATGCAGATGAGGGGTCGCGAGCAAGCCAATGGCTAGAGTGGGCGACCTCGAGAGTTAGTTTTGCTGAGATGGCTTTGGACAAGACTTTGATCGACCGGCTACAGACAGGTCTTAGACAGTGCGGACTCGGAAATGAATAGCCAGTCTACTGGAGCGGGGGGTAAGCTGTAGGTGGTTGATAGCCAGGTTGAAGACTGTAAATAATGAGAAAGTAGTTGTAGTCATTTGGTGGAGATCACTTGCCTCCTCTAGGCTGGAGCAGTTGCAGACGTTTGGTTTCCAATTTACTCCCATTCACTTACATGTCCGCTCACCTACCCACCTACCGCCTTCCTGAAATAGGCCGACACGATGCGCTCCCGTCCGCTTCCTAAATAGACGGGAAAAAAAACCACAATGAAACCGACGGATCGAACACGGTAGAACACGCGCCATCTCTTTCCTTCATTCTCTTCAAGGTCCAGTCGCATTTCTTCCCTGAGTATTGGGCTTTTTCTTTCATCAACATGCCGCCGGCCTATGAGTTCCGGGGAAATGACCGACGGTCATCGTATCGCCCCAAGCAAGAATTCACCTTTCGTTATCCGCGTCCTGGTACCTCCGAGCGTCCGCTACTGAGAACCAGAAGAGAAGCTACACCAGAGCAGCTGCTAGCACAGGGAACGTCGGACAGTAAACCTGGCTTGAAGTTTGCTTCCATAGAAAACCTCAGCGACAGCGAAGAGGCGGATATGGACGTATCCTCTGATGACGATGCGGATGCGACTCATCCACGCAAGAAACGCGCGATTGAGTCCAACAGTACCACAGATACCGCCCCTCCTGCAGCGGCGCCCACTCCCCGGTGGTCCAACCCTGATCCTTATACTGCGCTGCCCCCGCCCGACGATAGTCAATCAAAGCGAGTGGATGTGGTCAAATTAATCCGCAAGGCTCGGATTGCTGCGACCGCGAACCAGACCGCACAGAAGGATGCAGTAACCACCAACGAGGACTTCATCTCACTTGGTGGGCTGGGTGATGATGAGGATGAAGACAGGAACCCCCCGGAGAACGCGCCTACCGGTCCGAAGCGTCAACTTGATGGAAGAGATTCGGCGCTGGGCAGTCGAAAGAGAACATATGATGACGAGCTGAAGGGCATTTCGAAGAAGACCGGAAAACCACTGAGTCGGTTCCATAACGATGGCTCGATAACTGATGAATGGAGGGTGCGCCCACTTCAATCGGGTGCGCCCTGGCTACATCATATGGCGCCTACCTTACACTTGGGTACCAGGTGGGTGCCGATCTTCAATCTAAATAGGATATTGGCTTCCGCTGACCCTGCGACAGATTACACAACGAAATCTTAAGCTTTTATCACTGGGTGAAGCCGGTCTCTTATGAGCAAATCGTGCGAGAGGACTTGGTATCTAGACTGCAGACTGCATTTCAGAGCAGGTACTACGGTGTGCAATTGCGTCCATTCGGTTCCTTTGCGTCCGGCCTCTACCTTCCCACTGCGGATATAGATTTGGTTCTACTTTCAACAAACTTTATGCGCCATGGGATCAAGACTTTTGGCGAGCGGAAAGGTCAAATCTACGCGTTTGCTGCATTTCTGAAGAACCAGAACATAGCTGTTCCCAACTCAATTGAAACGATCGCTCATGCTCGTGTGCCCATCCTCAAATTCGTGGACAAAACTACGGGTCTCAGAGTTGATCTTTCCTTTGACAACGACAGTGGACTGGTTGCCAATGAAACCTTCAAGCAGTGGAAGTCTGAGTACCCCGCAATGCCCGTTCTTGTGTCCGTGGTCAAGCAGTTCCTCCTTCTTCGAGGCCTCAATGAAGTACCCACTGGTGGATTGGGTGGATTCTCAATTACTTGTCTGGTCACAAGCTTGTTGCAACACATGCCTTATGGTCACTCGGCACCGAACCTAGGCAGCATGCTCATGGATTTCTTTGAATTCTACGGCAAGCATTTTGACTATGAAAACGTTGCCATCCGTTTCAACCCGCCTAGTTACTACAACAAAGTGAGTGCCTTTACAAATAGTTGAACAACAGAGCTGACAGGATGGCTCCAGAAGGTCTACGGCTCCCGAGATAACAACCCCCGTCTCTCGATCGAAGATCCCAATAATGCCGATAATGACGTTTCTGGCGGCACACGAGAGATTGCTTTGATCTTCCGGTCTTTTGCTGAAGCTTACAGACGGCTCAAGGCGCGAATGATCACAACTGCCAGGTTAGAGGATCCCAAGGCCAGCATTTTGGAAACCATCATTGCGGCAAACTACGACGAATATACCGAGCAACGGTGGCAGCTGCGCCAGATCTTCGACAATGATCCCCGCTTTGCTCATCTCCATCAGCCTCCCACACCCCCACCCCCACCTCAAGGCTCACCCCCGGCTAATACCGCCCCGCCACCACCCTCTCTGCCTCCCAATTCCCCTCCGCCCGTGAAGGAGAAGGAGAAGGAGAAGGAGAAGGAGAAGATTACTAAACTGCAAAAGAAGCAACAAGCGGCGCGAGATCGTGCGGCACGTCTCAGGCGACTACGACCAGACCTTCCATCTGTTCCCAGTTCCATCACCAATGAGCAAGCAATGAGTCTTGGTGGGTATAAAACTCAGTCAGACATGGATCGGGATCTTATGCAACGCGAGAAAGAGTCCAACACACCTAGCGAAGACTAAACTCATAGCATGGTACAGTCGAGCGCATGTTGTCTGTACAATTCCTCATGATTCATTGGCAAGTGGATCGATGTCATATGCTTGGTGATGACGACTATGTATTCCCCATGGTGGCATTCTCCTGTTATCTATTCTACTTGCGTCTTTTTGAGCGTTAGATACCCCATTTATGTAGACTTGGAAGGCGTTATGGGAGGAAGTGCTTGGGCTGGGCTGTTGTTGTCTCTCTGTGGTCCATGGGAAGAATAAGGCTGCGCCTGGGGTTTCACAGCTTGGTTCGCGGTTCTCATCAATTGAAACGTCTGATGGGGAGATCTTGGAGTTTCGACAGGGCTAACATGTGTGCAGAATTACTGACGTACTTGCCTCAGCAGAGTCGCAATGGGAGATATCCCGTCTTTTCGCTCTGCGATGAGGTCCTTGTCACAGAGACCAGGGCCTCTCCTTACCGAAGCCGAAATTAGGGGCAAGACTTGTTCAGTGTCTGACTGGCAGGCAATACGCTACTAGCAGCAGCAGCAATGAGTTAGAAGCAAAATCGAAATGGTACAGCCGAGGAGACTCTTTGTGTCTCTGGTTCTTTCTACACACTCCTTTCCCACCTCTTTCTCATCAAGGAAGCGCTACATGCGAGTCCTTGGGGAGGATGCTGCCGGTTGAAGGAGATGTGGACCAGTGTTTGCAAAGGGATCTAGAAAGACCTGTCGAAAACTTGAAGTCTTGAATATGCAAGTGGGAAGCGGCAGTTACACCATGAGTCATTGCAAATTATCGTTCGAATTCATGAAGGATAAATGTATGCAAACCCACCCAAAACCCGTGTCGGATGGGGAATGCGTGGCAGCCGGGCAGACCAATTAGATTCCATTAGAACCACTATCGTGAATCTGATGGGAAGACCAAATTGCTGTCTCGACAAGCGGCGTCGCAGAATGGTTTCCATCGCCCCGACTAACTAGCCTCCGCAGCAGCATCTTCAGCTTTCTCAAGAGATGCCAGGTGATCAGCAGGTAGAGTATTGACGAAGTCAGGTCCTGGGCTGGCCCACGTGAAGTCCACCCAGTCCGGGCCGAGGATAGCTTGGATTTGCTGCGCCAGAGATGCGATGCGGTGCCGACGATCCTGGGACCAGTCCGACGGGGTCTGCTGCTGCTGCTGCTGCTGCTTATCTTGTCCATTCTCCAGTCCATCAAGAATACTTCGCCACACGCTAAGCGTCTCCTCCAACTCACTCACATTGCTGACGCCCATCACGCTGACGCCCAGCCGCTCTCCAGTCCCATTGGAAGCCACAGAGACAAAACCAGAATCAGCGGTAGGGGCCCGCGCAAGAGGCGGCCCCATCGCGCCAACCCGAGCCCCGTCGCGCAACCAGGCCTCCAACGCGAACCTAATCGCGATGACTTCCAGCTTCTCCGCCTCCTGGGTGTTCGCCCATGCGCCCGCTGCCATGACGGCATTCCGCAGGCCATCCGGGGCGGGGTGGAAATCCCCCATGCTCCCGATGGGGACGCCGTCCCTCCGCAACAGACCCATGCCCAGCGGCGACGCATTGGGCACCACGTCCACGCCGGCGGCCACCAATCTCGGCAAGCCCTGACTGCGGAGCCGGGTGTTCTGCAGTGTGAAGTTGGCGTACGACTGCACGAGATCCAGGGGTTCGCCGGTTTCGCGCAGCACCAGCTCGGCGATCTCGCACAGCACGTCGACCGGGTAGCCCGAGATGCCGACGTAGCGGATGGTGCCCTCGGTGTCGCGGATGCGGCGCAGCTCGCGCACCGCCTCCAGCGCCTCGGCGCGCGACACGAACTCGACGTCGTGGCAGTACACCGCGTCGAGGTAGTCGGTGTGCAGCCGCCGCAGACTCCGGCGGATGCTGTGGCGGATCCACCGCGGCGAGTAGTCGAACGACGAGGAGGCGATCCGGCCCACCTTGGTGAGGATCTGGTAGCTGTGGCGCGGGAATGCGGCGCGGACGGCCTCGCTGGCCAGCGCCCGACCGAGGAGCTCCTCAGCCGGGCCGTAGTATGGCGACGTGTCGAAGGCGCGCACGCCGTCAGTGAGAGCGCGATGGACCAGCTCGGTGGTCGGGAGTGCGTACGGGTCGTGGTTATATTGGGAGTTGAATGTCGCCGTGCCCATGATCAGAGGCGGCAGATGCGCCGAGAGGGGTGTCGAAGGGCGACCCATTGTTTCTTCGTTCCTTTCGTTCCTTCGTGTCTGTCTTATCCTCTAATGGTAGAGACTGGTGGGAAAGTTGGAGGAAAGAAACGGAAGTGCAGTAGCAAATCTCCGGGGATTTATATCGCCTGAAATAACCAAGTGAGGGGAAGATGGAAAAATACGTTGCGGGGACAAGAAGGCGCCGACGCGGGGACGGGAGGGAGGGGGCAGGCAAACGTTTCTGACAAAACCCCCGGGAATTGTCTCTGATCTCATGGGTCGTACATACTTATTACACCTCCTGAGGACTACTGAGAGTAGGTAAATCGCACTAAAGACTACAGTGAAGCCGTGAGGTCTGTGTTTCTTGCAACGTTACTGGACTGAGAGACAGGAACAAAGCATGGATCTTATTTATACATATGCACGTTGTGGATATTGAATTACAGCCACATAAGCTATCGCCTTTCAGCGCACGAAGTACAGGAGGGGAGAATCAACAAAAGAGGAACAAAAAGCATACAGAGCGAGCAAGGACTACTCTAACCCTGTCGGCTTAAAGTCCCACCTCTTTAAATAATGTACACAACAAACATCGTTTCGGACCCGATGCATCGAGAGCTGACAGTTGTCCATCGGGAAAGTTGGGCCTCAGTGACAACAGTACGCTTCTGTCACTCAAGTGCTGGGTCCGACCCGGGTGGGCGCGACACGCCATCGAAATCGAGGGAATCTAGAACAAGTCTTCCAATCCAAAAAACCTTGGATTCACCAAAAACGCCATGCTATGCTGCGAAGAAAAAAAAGGACACCTCGGAAGCGGAGGGAGGAGTCGAAATAGGTCGGCAAAGTCTCGGAGACCGTTCAGTTGAGGACGATTGGCACGATCAAGCCTTCTTTTACCGGCCTCGGAACCGATCGAACACGTTGGCGGAGGGAACCGGGAGGAGAGAGGGCTGATTCGAGATGTGGAAGCTTCCCATTGTTGTAGGTTCAAGCTTTTCACCGATCCTTATACACCTTGGGCTTCCATCCCTCCTGCAGTTCCTTCTCCTGGGCGGCATGGCGTTCTGCTTGTCGGACCTCCATCTCTAACCGCTCACGGGCACGAAGAATCTTGCTCTGGAGGTAAAAGCTTCCGCCCTTCTGAGGATCGTTCATGTCGAATAATTTCTTGAAGCGCTCCATCACCTGCTCCAAGTTGGCCTCACCACCCTGCGGAGGCTTGACATTGAGGATCTTGCAGGCTTCGTCGAGGGTCAACCCAGAAGCAGCCCCGCCGCCCACTTTCTTGCCTGTCTGGGCAGCGTACTTGGAGGAGGCCTGAGCTTGCTTGTAGGCCTCGGCGAAGGCGCGACCAAAGACGCGGGCGCCCGTAACGACAACTTGGGTGACGATGCGATGGGCCTAGAAGATAGCGAAGAGCGGGAATTGTCAGTCTGGAAACAGAATGATATCAGGAGAGCAAGGGAAAAGAAAAATTTGCCGACCACGTACCATGATGCGTAATGATAAGAGCCGATCTAGTGGAGGGAGCACTCGTCGGGGGGGTGAGGAGGTGAGAATTCGTTGTCTGGTCTGGCTGAAGGGGAGGTTGAGCCAGGTTTGGATGGCAATGGAAACAGACAGAGAGGGAAATTTTCGGCGGTGGTTTTAGTCCGAACCGGGGAAGTGCTGGAGGTGCTGGTGACGTCTGGTATGTTACGGTACAATACGGCTCATAATTACAGTGATACAGTACCCCGTACAATCGGTCGGTCAGAAGTCCCTGTCACATGTTCCCGACCAGACAACCAACATATGGACTACGACTAAGTATTCTTTGGAAAAAGGCTTCAATTCGAACTTCTTCTTGTGTGCTTCCCCTTGGCCCCCCCCCGCAATCTGAAGAATGATGGATCGGCTTTCCAGTTACTGAATACTAATTCTACCTACCGCCCCTGCTGGAGCTTCTCGCCTGTCCCTTCTCTTCTCCTTCTTCTTCTTCCCCCCCGCCTCCTCCTTCTTCCTCTTCTACTTCGCCGTACCTCCTCGTCCTTGCGACCTACTCACTTTCTTCTCCGCTCACCGCCCGCAATGCCCTTGGCGAATGCATATGACGTCTCTGTTGTTGGATGGCAGCACTCGGTATGTAAGACAATCGACGCATCCTCAACGCTCCTCAAGAGTCCTCGTTATATCCCTCTCGTGTCGGCCGTTCACCAAGTACTGATATGCTAGGATAGAAGAACTTCCGTGGATAGATTCCATGGCCCCGTCATCTTCTTCTGCGCAGGACCATGCTGACTCTCAGCCTCCGACGGTCGCTGCATTCTCTCCTACTACCATCTCCGGCTCATCCTTAACCTCGAGACAACGCTCAAGTATAATTGTACACCGCAAGTCCCCTCTTTTAGTAGCCACTCCGCCTCAGATAACCCGCGCCCTGGCTTATTCGCACCCCTTTATTCTACCCTTAAATAAGCTCGTGGGCTTGCTCACATGGACAACTGGGGACGGATGGCAGAGCTTCTTACTTGTGGCCGTGTTTTGGACACTGGTCCTCTATGGCGAGGTCATCATCTTGTGGGCAGGGCCACTCTTGCTGGTGGTCGGGCTCATTCTGGGCATGTACTGGAGACGATACTCGCCCTTGTCCTCTAGGGCTCACAGTGCTGAGAAACAGAGCCATCAAAGAGCCATGTCTGATAGCTCTCCTCATGGCAACGAGACCCTAGATGAGATTGTCGAAACTCTGAGGACATTCACAACTCGGTGCAACATACTGTTGGAACCCCTCGTGGAGCTGACTGAATTCTTATCAACGCAAAGGACGGCTACATCTGCCACTACCCGGCCAGCTCTTACTACTCTTTTCTTCCGGATCTTATTTGTGACGCCTCTCTGGATTGCTTTAACCCTCCCGCCATTGTATTTGATCACCACTCGTCGTGTAGTCATGATCTTTGGCACTATCATCATCACCTATCACTCCCGACCGGCAAGGGTCTGTCGAGTCATCTTATGGCGTTCATTGACCATCCGCAAAATCTGTTCCATGATTACTGGATTGTCTTTCTCGTCGGATGTGGAAAAGACATTATCGGCCGTGATGCAAAGTCACGGGCATGCGGTAAACATCGCCACGAGACGCCGCGGGGATTCCTCCGGCGTCCGATTCACATTCATCATCTATGAGAACCAGCGTCGCTGGCTGGGCATTGGTTGGACTTACTCTCTCTTCCCCTCCGAGCGTGCTGCTTGGACCGACGAGCATCTGAATCCGGTGCCTGCAAAGGACGAATTTGAGCTGCCTGGCGTTCAAAGTGGCAATGCACAGTGGCGGTGGGTAGATGGCAGCGACTGGCATATCGAAGGGGCCGATGACCAAAATGGACACTCCGATGCCAAGTCCTCTGACGGTGGGGGATGGATCTACTACGACAACAAGGCAAGTTTGGTTCCTTGGACTCAATTCCAACACAGGCAGTCTAGCTAATCTTCTGCAGTGGAATGAGGGTCGCCGTGGCCAGGACGGCTGGGACCGATACACCCGTCGTCGGAAATGGTGTCGCGACGCTGAACTCGTTGAAGTGCCTTCTGCAGCAGCCGAGGGCTCATCTACAGCAGTGAAATCTGGTCTGTCACAAGCCTTGGAGGCAGAGAAACAGGAAAAGAAACCAACCGGCACCGTGGATGCGCACCCGGCGGATAGTAGCGGTGGATGCGATACCGATAGCCTGGCCCCCTCGACCTCCTCCAAGTCACGGAGACGCCAATGGTTCGGGAGCACGAAGAGTGTAAGCGACATCAAGAACAGCAGCTTCTCCTCTGCTCCACCAACCTCTACCAACAACTCCTCCATTGATCTTGGAAGAATAACGTCTGCCAATAGTACCAATTCACCACCATCCGGGAGAGCCCCTTCCAGGCCGATTAATATCTCTCACTCTCGAAGACTGTCCAACTATTCCGGCACCGCCAGTTACAGCAGCAGCCAGGGACCAGACGGTAGCCTCCGAGAAAAGGAAATCACTCGAGCGCAGGATCAGCTGGATCGATGGGCTGCCCGAGCGGCAGGAGGAACCGAACGGGCAGAGCGAGAATTGGGGCTAGGCGACGAGGTGAATATGGGATTGAGCTGATCTCAGTTTTACAAATCCGTTACGAAGCATCGTGCACAGACCTTTCAGATTGATCATTGAGTGAAGCATCTGGCTTTTATGACGCCCATTAGTTGAGTTTGGGCCTCTTGGCGCTTCGACCATCTTTGTCCTGTACTTACGCCACGACGACATGAAGATACCCTTACAATTCTAGCCAAATATAACTATCGTGCTGGTGATTCAAACTTTGGCGCCGTCGCCCATCATCATTCTATCAACTGGCTAAACAGATATCGTATATGCCTTGGACTCATAAAATTGTTCGTTATGAGCATACCTCTCCGCCTCCGGGGGTCCATACCCTCTTCAAAATCGATCTCCCATATCAAGCGAGTATGAGATCCCACTGTAATTGATCCAGCAAGTCCAGCCAATGCACTCCTTCCATAGCCCATAGAGCTTGTAGCATCTCCTTCGCTCGTTTAACATTCCCAATCCCGAAGTTGACCTCAAGGCTACTCAAGCATGTCATGATAAGCTCTTTATCCTCGGGTGCCCTGATCTCACAGCCCGCAATGAGCAAAGGAAATGTGAGCGCCGAATATTCGCAGTGGGCATCGAGGGGTGAGGCCGTTCGGATCCTGTCCAGAAGCATCTGCAGGGCATCCGACCTCGTCATAGTGATCACAGCTGACCAGGGGCCTGCAGTAAAGGTGGTTTTCATACCCTTGCTCATCTTCTCCAGGATTGAATGGAGGTAGATGTATGCCGCATCGCGGAAACAATTTGCGACCATGCGGAGGCGACAGAGGTTCATTTCTGTGATGCCCTCGGGAATGATGTACCTTATGTCCTGATGCGTCCAATTATGCAGTAGAGTATCACTAGGGTATGTATCAGCTATATATGCACGTCTGTGAGTCGAAAGTATGACGGCTGGGGAGAAGCTATAGAGAGGTAGGCGGCGCACATTGCATGGATTTCGATTCCCAAAGCTACAGGGTCATGGTTCAGGGAAGGTAGATCAGCGATCCTCGCGCAGAGTTTGACAAGATCTTCCGCGTAGCCAATGTATATATCGAGTTTGGTGATCCTGACGTCCTCCATATCAAGCATGCTGGAGGTGATTTGCTTGCGATTACTGATTTTAGCAACGTTATGAGCATAAATGTAGCTATTATTCTCTGTCAGTATGGCCTTTTTCTCCATGAGACTTACGACATACAAGCCCATCAAGAACTCCCGGGTATCATGATGCAAAGCCCCAAACCCACCCCGTGCAATGACTAGCTTCTGAAGAGCATTCAGATGCGCTACCCACTGCTTAACGCTTCCACGGACAATCTCGTATTTGCAGAGTAAAGCCACCGCGAGAATAGCTTCATCAGGAAATCTTCCAGTGGGATATTCCGAGAGCACAGATTGTAGCCCATTCAGGGTTTGAATGTAATATGTTGTGGCAGCAGTTTGAGCTTCTGAATGGGCAGCTATTCGATTCGCACAATGCGTCGCTGATACTGCGCATAAAGCTTTCATAAGGAGCGAAGATGATAGGGCCCGAGGAATGATCAGAGACCGCAAAGGGTTGTCGGCGCTCTCAAGATTTGCGAGTAACTTGGAGCCGAGCTCCATGTGGTATTGAAGATAGTGCGTTTCTGAGTGCGAAAGATGACTGAGGGATTTACAGGGCGTGAGTGTCATTATAGCGAGGTCACCATTCTCGGCAGTGGTATGTGCTGGCATCTGATCAACCTCATCCGTAGTGTCATCGACGTTCGATAAACACATATCGCTATTACCAGAATCTGAGAAAGTGGTAGGGGTAGTTGGTTGGTAATGTAGCCATAAGGAGCTTGAGCATGTGGAGCTCACACTGGCTCGTCCCAAGGAGGATGAGGAACTGGAAGACGATGTGCTAAGTCTCCTGCGCTTTGTTGGTTTTGTTTGACTGAAGACCTGTGCAGACGGGTTCAAGGGCTCTGCCCATATTGAGCCATATCCCTCACATTGTAGCCCTAATCTAGCACAACTACGACATCTGATAAACGAGTTCAGTCAGTGACAACGAAGGTAATCGACCACTAGACATACCCAGGCTTAGATTCGTCACATCTTTTCCGGCGACGTTTACATGTCAAACAGCCAGTGCGTGTCCATTTCCCGCCCTCTCTCCTGTATCGTCTCTTACTAAGGCCCTGAATTTGTGCCTCCAATGGGTTTGCAGCCGCGTGAGGTAGTAGTCGGTCTCCAGTCATAGTGTCGTCCCACATTATGAGGCTATCATGGGTAGAAACCCGAGCACCGGAGGGATGAAACGCTGAGCTTTGGCGGTGTACTGAGTAAATGAATGTTATACAAGTTCTATGTCAGAACTAATGCGATTGATTTAGCAGGGAGAGAATCCCCACAAGCACGTATCAAGTACTCATATGGAGTCGCTCTTTGAAGCGCAAGTTCTAGCCAATGCAGGTAGCATCGAGGCTAGTATCTTCAGATTCAGGTACTGATCGAAAGTGGCGAGGGGGTGACAGTGAGCGAGAGTAGTGAGTTGAGTTAGTTATTGATTGATGACACGGCGGAGATGGATTCCCTTGATGGCACTAAACTGGAAAGGGTAAGTGATGCGCCCACGTTATCGCCTGGGCTTCCCCTCTTGGGATTGCCAAAGGAGACAGCTGGGTGTACAGTACAGTACGGCGTAAGTACAGCCTGCTCAGGAAGATTGACGCTACTCATCAGCAGACGAAGATAGTGGCGTCGGCTCTTTTGATTTCCCGTAGTAGTCCGTACCGTACATGCCCATGGTTGTAGACTGGGTGTAGTTACGTAGTCAGTAAGTAGACTGATAAGAGCGACAGATAAAGGAAAGAGTGGGACGGACATTTCTTATCGCCTCTGGAATTTCTCGCATCCCTCGGGCTCCGAAGAGCATCATTCCAGGTACGAGAGAACATACTGCGTGACGAATGAAATTGCCGTGTATGATGATGATGCTCATCCTCGCAGTCTATGAGTAGCTGGAATAGCCGCGGTGGGGAGAGCGAAAGAGAAGCGAGAAGAGCGATTGAAGGATGATGTTTCATCGGCGAGATAAACGCTTCCCCCCACTTCCCCCCACTAACCCCCAGCCTACTTTCCGCTTTAGGCAAGTCCATCCAGACTCTCCCATGGTCGATAATCTTCAATCTCCTTAATGTGGAATCTCTGGATCAACTCAACGCTACTACAGCTATTGCTGCTGCTGCTTGCGAAATGTGGAAAAAGAATCTTTGGAACTACTTAAAGGCCCTTCAATATCCTCCTCCTCCCTCCCCAATGGTTAAACCAGTACTTTTATTCTGGTTCTCTAATACAACCCCAAGATGTCTCTCGCAACTGAACCCAGCCCTCGATTGACTGCATCGAGTGGCCCTCATCCCTTCGATCCAGTCACTCCTCGAGAAATCAGACTAGCGGTTCGAGTTTTGGAAAATGCCTTCGCTGGTGTCAAACTTCGCTACAATCGGATCGATATTCACGAACCCATCAAGCATGAGGTTGTCCCATACATTGAAGCCGAACGTCTAGGACAGCCCTTACCGCGCAAGCCCACCCGCCTCCTATACTCATACTTTCATCGCCTCGATACTCTTGAATGTTGCAAGGCGCTCATCAATGCTGACACCGCGTCAATTGTCTCGACGAAAGTGCTCCCCAAGACCGTTCAGGTATGCGTATCATCATCTACGAGAAACTTTGTATTGAGCACTGACATTGATGTGCATATAGCCTCCCGTCGATATCGATGAACTTGCTGTGATTGAAGAAGTCTGCATGAAGCACCCGGCTGTGCAGGCAGAGATCGCGAAGCTTAACTTGCCCCCGGGAATGGCTGTGTGCAATGATCCATGGATGTACGGCACTGAGAACCAGACTGAGACACGTCGGATGTTTCAATGTTTCATGTACATGATGGAAGTCGACCACCCTCAGAATAACCACTACTCCCTGCCATGCAAATTCTCTCCCGTCTTCGACGCCTTTACCCACGAATTGATCCGCATGGACTATCTACCAGGAGGCGATGATCATTCATTTACTGAGACTCAGGCTTGGAAGCCTGTCAAGGCTGTGCAATATGCGCACGATCTCCTTGATGAGCCTGTTCGCACGGATCTCAGACCTTACATTGTCCAGCAACCAGAAGGTCCCTCTTTCAACGTGGTCGGCAACTTTGTTTACTGGCAAAAGTGGCGTTTCAGGGTCGGCTTCAACAACCGGGAGGGTATGGTTCTGTACAATGTCACATATGACAATCGCAGTGTTTTCTACCGTCTCTCGGTCTCGGAGATGACGGTGCCCTATGGAGGTGGGATCTAACCCCAACGTACCTGTTCAAAATTATCGCTAATCTGATCCGCATAGACCCTCGCGCCCCTTATCACCGCAAGCAGGCCTTTGATGTTGGCGATGTTGGTTTCGGTCTCAACGCCAATCAGCTCTCGCTCGGCTGTGACTGCTTGGGCCACATCAAATACTTTGATGGCTACCGAGCCGACTCCAAAGGCAATCCAGTCCTGTTGAAGAACATTATCTGCATGCACGAACAGGACAACGGTATTCAACATAAGCACACCAACTACAGAACTAATGCGGCAACAGTTGTCCGCAATCGTCAGCTTGTTATACAGATGATCTGCACTGTTGCTAACTATGAATACATCTTCGCCTATATATTCGATCAGGCGGCCAACGTCGAACTTGAAGTCCGTGCTACTGGCATTCTGTCTACGGTACCGTTTGATAACGAAGACGGCAAGACTGTCAGATGGGGTACGAATGTTGGCCCTGGTGTTATGGCTCCCTACCATCAACATATGTTCTCGTTCCGGGTTGATCCCGCCCTCGACGGCTTTAAGAATACTGTCTACTATGAGGACAGTGTCCCCTTACCCGAGGATGACCAGAACCCCTATTTTGTGGGATACACTACTCAGCAAACTGTCATCAGCAGGTCCAGCGCCGCAGATCTTGATATCAGCCGAAGCCGAGTTTATAAAATTCGCAATGACAGCAGTATCAACCCTATCACTTACAAGCCCGTGGGATACAAGCTCCACGCCGCACCCAGCCAAATGCTGATTCAAGGCAAGAACTCGATCGGACATCAACGGGCTGAATTTGCTACACGGCCCATTTGGGTCACAAAGTACCGGGACGAGGAGCTTTACGCGGCAGGCGAGTTCACGAACCAAAGCCACCGCGCAGACGGCGTCGAGACATGGGTCAAGAGAAACGATCCAACCGAGGATGAGGACGTGGTTCTCTGGCACAGTAAGTTCGCCCTACCATGTGTATCGCACCACCTTGAGGAAGTACTGTACGATGGACTAACATGCCATCCTTCCGTAGCATTCGGACTGACCCACAACCCCCGCATTGAGGACTTCCCCGTCATGCCCATGGAACGTATCAGCGTCATGCTGCGTCCCGACGGCTTCTTCACTAAGAACCCCGCCGTCGATGTGCCGCAGTCATCTCAGGCCTTCAACAAGTCAACTCTTCACCCGGAAGCAGCGGCCGCGGCGTCTTGCTGCTCGGGCGCGGGAGGCAGCAAGGCGAAGCTGTATAAACGACTAGACTGAAAGATGTCCCGCGAGCATGGAGGATGGCCCTTTTGATCTAGACTTTCGCCTTCGTTGGCGAAAGCATTGTATGATTCATGACTACACATACCGCCACCTGACGTTTCGAGCAATGTAAATAAGAGTTTCGTTTCCTAAATGTTACAACTAAGCCTTCGACGCTTACAGTTCTGAAGAAGTCAACATCCGTCTTACAACCACCGTCGCATTCATTTGTGTCTCATTAATACATGCTGTTCTGATTTGAATCACACAGACCCTGTCTGAGCCAGACTGGTTATATAAATCAGAATCATTGTACGTAACTAAGTTCGTCATTTCTGTGAACCCCGCCCACACATTCGTGTCCCATAAACAGACCCCTTATCAATCTCCAAACCATTTTCATTTCTGCACCGCATTATTCCTTAGGTCTCCACCTTGAAGAAAATTCATGCGACCATATCCATTCTTGCCAGGTCATTCAAACTCTGCGTCTTCAACAACCAGGAAACAGGAAATTTGTCATGTCCAGGCACCAAAAGGGCCTACAGCATAAGTGTTGGAATACCCCTTCAAGCCTTCTTGGGCACGTGAGCGCTGGGGACAACACCGTGGCCAACATTGTCGATGGCGGACTGGCGGGCGCCGGTGAGACCGAATTGACGATTAATGCCCTCGACACGGTGAGTGGAGTTGATATTCTTGACAAGAGTAAGCTGCCAGCAGGTAGCTCCACCCTGGCGAGAGGTGATGGTAGAGTAGGCCAAGAAGTACTCCCAGATCTGCAAACGCGGGTCAGTCATGTGCGGTGAGGATCATTGAGGAGAGTCACGAACCTTGAACCATCTCTTTCCGTACTTGGCCTCGACCTTGTCACGGTTACCCATCCAGTTCCGGTACCAGCGCCAAAGGGTGGCAGAGTAGTGGACGCCAATGGTGTCGACAGCCTTGATCTCAAATCCGGCGGCCTCCAGTCGATCGACGACAAAACCAAGGGGGGTGCTAGCGTCGGCTCCGGGGAAGATGTACTTGTTCATGAAAAGACCCCAGATCAGATCCTCATACTGCCAGGACTTACGCAGACCAGCAATCTGAAGGAAGAAGACACCGTCATCATCCAACATTTCGTAGACCTGAGACAAGAAAGTAGTGAAGTGACGAACGCCGACATGCTCAGCCATTTCCAAACAGGTGATCTTCTTGTAACCTCCGTCCACCCGGGGGGCGTCACGGTAATCGAGGCACAGGATACGGCTCTGAGATTCCTCAACACCAGCATTGCGAAGACCCTTGTTACCCCAAGCAGTCTGGTTACGACCGAGGGTGATACCAGTGACTTGAGCGCCATAGTGAACCGAAGCATATTTGGCCAGAGTACCCCAACCGCAACCGAGATCGAGGACAGTGTCACCGGGTTGAATGCCAATCTTTTCACACACCACAGCCAGCTTGTTGTCCTGAAGCTCCTCAAGAGTCTCCTCACGGTTGATGTCGCTGATGATTCCAGAGGTATAGATCATGCGGGGACCCAGGAACCAAGCATAGAAGTCATCGCCACGATCGTAGTGGTCACGAACCTGTTCCTCATCTGATTGATGCATCTACAGTCAGCAACCTAGTTTCCCCAAAATTCAACTGACGCCTGGTCACTTACCCTGGGAGCGAGTGTGCATGATCATCTCAGGAATGAAACCGAAGAGGAAATGCTTGAAGAGACCCATGGTGAAACGGAAATTGGCCCAGTCGTGACGGAACTCGAGGGCTTCCAGGGCGTCACACTTGAATTCCACCTCACCGTTGAAGTACTTTTCATAGAAAACCTCCATGGGGATCTTGCTCTTGCCACGATAGGCAGCGCGATCATGCTCGCTGTGGAAGCTGAGGTAGTACTCGACGGGGCGACCGGCATACTTGGCCTTTTCGTTCTTGCGGGGAGAGATGGAAGAAGCTACAGACCAAAAGGCCATGAGAATGGGGATAGTGGTGAAGATAGCAAAGAAGATGGTGGTGTAGAAACCACCGCCAACTTGGCGAGCGAAGTACCATGGGATCAGCAACAACAGGGCGAACAACAGAGTGTTGGAGAAGCTATCGCTGCCGGGGGAATCGGCCGGTACAGGGGCATTTTTAATGGCCGGGTACTAGGAAACAGGGAAACCATTGACAGTCAGTGTTTGACTCCCATGGCTCTGAGGTCTCAATGGAATGAGAGAACGAGAATTGCCAGAGGATAAAAGAAGGGAGACAGCAAAGCGACTCACCGAGGTCGTCCGCACACCACAGTCATCAGCGGGAGTGACGCACGAGGCGGGAGGAGTTTCGATGTACTCGAAGTCCTCAAGGGACTCGGGATGTACAACCGTCATGACGGAGGAGACGGATTGACAGGTAGAAGGGGAATTGAGAGAGAAAGAGAGGGGGGGAGGAGGAAGAGAGAGAGAGGGGGAGGGGGGGGGGGGGGAGG